CAGTGTTAAGACTGGGCGTCCGGCCCCTGGTAAATGGACGCCCGATGGCCGCCCCAGACCCCCGAAGGGGGTCGCCAGGGTGTCCGAAGGACGCCCGATCAGCTGGGCTAGGGGGTCCGGGTGACACCCAACCGCAGACATCAGGGTGCCCATGGACACCCATTCAAACTGGTTCAGGGGGTCCATCGTCCAGCAGAATATGAGCATTACCTAAATACAGCTCACTTCTGTTATAGTACCATTTTTGCAAGCCAAACCTGTTACAGTGTCAAAATTTGAACGTTGGACTGGGTGGCTATCAACAACACTATCCTCCTTGCACAGAGGACGAGCTGTAAAAGAGGGCGTTCTGCCGAGAGCTATAGGTTCGTGCGACACGCTACAGGGCTTGGATTTACATACCCCCAGCGCTTCTTTACGGTCGATCTAGCTAAGTCCCGACTCCCCTGTGAGGCGGCCGGGTTAATCATGAAGAACGCCCGGGGGGCTCCCCGATCGAGGCGCCGAAGGCGCCTTCGGACGCCCAATCAGAGCGACCAGGGCGCCCCGTGGGCACCCAATCACGCCCGCTAGGGCGTCCAAGGGCACCCAATCGAAAAAGTTACGCTTAACACTGCTCTAGAGGCAACTTATCTTGCATTCGTATAGGTTCGAGCTCATTATAGGCAAGGGCCTCATGAGTGTTTTCAATGATTGGAGTGGTTTGCACTTAGGTAGCCTGTGTCCCAATCGATATTGGCAGACAGCCCACGGGGGTACCCTTCCACACCGGCCCCCGGAGTAGGTTTCATGCTTATCCCGAAAACACCCGAAAGGTCCCGAAAGACTCGTAGTGAGTACTGTCGCTGTCGCTTTCGTGTCAAGTTTCACGTTCTTTTCGCTTCTACTTTCGTCCCGATCCGTCGTTCCGATCTATTGTTCTCTTTGTTTCAGTCTTTAATGATATGTTCCACTACGGGTCCATTGCAGTCCGTTCCATCATGAGCCCGTTCAATGCTCCCTTCCGTTCTCCTTTTGATATGCTTCCGCTGGTCCTACGCACTTCGCTTGCGTCTCTTTTTTTCCACTCTGACCACTCGCCTCTAGCTGCTCTGTTTTTCTACAATTTCCGACGGACCTCTGCTAGGCAGGCGGATCGTTTTTCTCATAGATATACTCGAGCTCCATTTGCGGCCATGAAGCAAAGAGCGCCATTCTTGCATAGGAACCTAGTTGCGTCGCATGTACGTCACCAACTGTAGAGAATACGATCAGCCGGGCGTTCTTATGCACTGTGCGCCTCTTGGAACAGCTTCCTCATGAGCTTTGCAAGTTCGTCTTATCATTGCCAGACTATCTTATAATGGCAACCGACGTTTATCATCTGCAACAACCAATGAAGAGTCACTGGCTGCCTGATCACACTGAAGCTGCTTGGCATGAGGAACTCGTGATTGATTCTCGCAAGGCAGCCCTACCAAAACGTGCCTGCTTTCTTGCGAGAGAACCTTGCCTCTAGTCATCGCATCATGCCGATTTCACTAGCTTGGGCTTGGCAGCGAGTCCGATCGGACCCGTATCTGCACTACATAGCATGCAGCATGGGATCAGAATGATGCCGAGTGTTAATATCGACCATTCAATCGTGAGCACAAGGCCGCCCGTGTTCGAACGGGCATACTAGATCGTCAGTTTGAGGGTTTTGGCGTAGATAAAGTTCTTGCTATCAATGCGTCGCTGACGAGTCTTATAGACACAAAGACGGCTCGAACGAACACTCAACGCTACATGGCTTTCGTTGGCATCTACTCATTGCGACTTAGCGGTTCACATTGCGGCAGCCGCCACTTGCTCCTCTTCTTGCTGACCCGAGAGTTCAGCCGCCTCACGGTCCGCTCCTTGCATGAAGTTTGGCGGCTTAGGAACGAGTCCTGCAAAAGACACGAGTGCTAGCAATCAGTCAGTCTTACTCTAATTGCTCCAAGACATGCGATTGCAGGTGAGGAGATAACGTCAATCACTTTGCAGAGATACTTTACGCAAACAAACCACAAGCAGTCCGGTACTTGGCGTCCTACGACTGTCCGTGAAACTTGATTCTGCTTTTTGAGGGCTTACCCAATTTCACGAGAACCGACTTCAAAAGACAAGTGCGTTCTAGAGGTGGTCCATTTTTAGTCTCAGCTCATTAGTTATTTGTCATCTGGATGCAATCCTACACGAACCCACGTTCTCGACAGGAAGCTATCGCTAACAAGGACAAACCTTACAAGCACTGTTCAAAGGTCTCGTGCAAGAGAAGCAATAGCAAACTGACAGTTGTTCATATTGGACCCCTGTCAACATCGGGGATTTGGCAAAACATTGTCGACATAACCGGACAGAGTCAAGTTCTGGAAGTCGACTTTGGCCGGAAACAATCTAGAAATGTGCACAATCTGACAGTCTTCGCGGTTTAGGGTTATAGGGATCCCGGTCTAGGCCCTCACCCAGCGTCTTGAACATCTGCTGATCTTGATCGTAGTCGTTGTTGGGCGTCGTCAGCAGCTTCTCCCCCGTGAAGATCGAGTTGGCGCCAGCCATAAAACATAGAGCCTGCAAGTAAGCACGGGCTATAGATGGTAAAAGCACCCTTTTCGAGCGTTCCGCTCGAGCTGGAATCAGCAGATACCCGGCACTTTGTGCCTAGAATGTTCGCTCGACGTGCTTGGGTAAAAGTACGAGGTTTGTGCTTGAGAAATGAACTTGCAAAACATGTTGGCAGAGACCGAGGGGCATAACATCGCCACGGGCCGACGCGGCCCCATAAGAATAGATTGGCCAAATTTACTTCGACGAAATCTTCCTTGAGATGTGATCACAGGACCGAAGTGTCTGAAAAGAGAGAAATGACCCCTTAGGAATCCACAGCAGGTGGCTGAATCTCAATCGAGGATTGGAGTAAGCGGTCCAGCATCTCTTGCTTCTTGTGGAAGACGATGTCGGATTCAAAACTGGTCTCCTGACTTCTAAATTCCACCAGCTTTGACCTTTGTGGGCTGATGAAGGAGAGGAGGAACAAAGGAAGGATGAAGCGACAGAAATGACCGTTACTCTATGAACTTGCTTTGCTTAAACGCGAGTATTAGCCCAAAAGTACGACCAGACTGTGCAAAATCTGGTGGTTGGCCCTAACAAACAGCGTCAGTACTGATCGCTACGGACCATCCTTGTACACGACGAATCGCTGATGGACAAAGTCAGGGACTCTCCTTTGTCCCTGAATTATTCCTGGAGCAAAACCCGCACACAGCCTACCCGCTTATCGCATAGCTTTTCCACATGGTCAGGTGATCGCAGAATGCCGCAATTGAGAACTTGTTCAAAAGGGACGGCATTCACTGTGGGTGTCTGCGCACGTAGTCTTTGGTGTCAGAACGGATGGAGGGAGAACGGGGCCTCCCGAGCCAACGTAAGAGACCGTTTCTAGCTATAATCCCCAAGATCGACGGTCTGGGTTGCTCAGATTTACAATGTTGACCGCGATCAAAGGAGTGGGGTCCCAGGGACGGCCCGGGAGTTCCTTCCGTTCTGTCATACAAAGAAGGGATTTCAAGTCCTGTTGCTGCTATTCTGAGGCACGCGGCTGTTCCGGACTCGGGACGGGGCCAAAACACAGAGTTCGGGCATCCGTGTCGAACACATCCCACGACGCCCTCTTTTGAAGTGGGCGTAGGATTGAAAGGGCACCAGTGACTTTCCAAGTCTCAGAGAGCACTCGTCGTCGACGAATAATGTTGCATCTTGGTAGTTTTCCACGGCGACCAACGTGGCGGTCTGTTCTCCGAGGCGTGAGGTCACATGACATGACCCGAAAAACGGACCGTTCTGTTGAAGCAGAATCCAGAGAAAGGAAGAGCGTGGTTACCTGCTCCGGCAGTGAGAACTTGACGCGCCCCGCAGACAACCGCACCATGGCCGTTGGCATCGTGACGCGGGCGGTCGCGATCATGCGGATCATCTCCCAGACCTCGACGGGCTGCACGCAACGAGATCCGGTCTGTGAGATGAGATGATTTGGCGTGCCAAAGATCCATCCAGATAGCGCTCTGGGCGCCGAGTCCACCGGTGCGCCGTAACCCTGCCTTGACCCTGCCTTGACCCTGCCTTGACCCTGCCGTAACCCTGCCCGCGTACGAGTTTTGCTGTCCCGCCTGAGAAGTCTCGTCTCCTAAGCCGCTCAGCTACTTCGATGGGTTCAAACTTCACGACAGCAAGCGAGTTTGAAGGCAGCCTCCCATGCGAGGACTACAGCGGCCAGAAATTCTGTCAAACCTGCAGCATCTTGACGGGTTATAATCCATACAATCGAAGAACACTCTGCATCACAGCCGCACGGATGTGTCGCTCCTCCTTTCGACTTCCGCCCTTGCTTCGGCAAGCGCACGCAACGTCCCTCAATACGCCGGTAAATCCCCCTTGCGTTAGCACATAAGCTGGCCCCCCACTCATACCTTTTGGTCCTGCAGGGGCGTCCCGGGTACTGCCAGCAACGCATTGATGGGCACGGACTCCGGATGCTCCGGTAGCGTGGCAAGGGTGTGAATAAGCCCCACGCGGTCCTCGGCGGCCTCCCCCATGCCGATGATTCCCCCGCTGCACACGCTGATGCCGGCGTCGCGCACGTACTTCAAAGTCTGCGAGAGCGAAAGGAGTGTGGTTATGGTAGGAACGAAGAGCTTTCATGTGCCAAGAGTGTTTCGCGTTGCACGTATATCTGTCCTGTCTGATTGTCAGCGCTGATGCCAGCCTTGCGGGGTCTGCAGAACGAGGTGAGTGAGCATATCTTCAGAAAAGAGGACGACCTTCCAAACTATTTCTCTGATTGGTAGAGTTGTCCAAATGCCTTATGCAAGCGCTGTGTGCCCGCTTATGCAAACGTAATTCAGGGCCTGCGAAGAAGACAGTCCGGAGTCGTGCATGAACGGGAATCTTCTCGGACATTTGCAGGGTTTGGAAAAGCTCAAGAAAGAGGGGCAGTTGTCCTCTGAAGTCGCATGCGGAAGCTTGAATGCTTCTACAGAGGATCTGTGCGAGGATCTCGGGGTTTGCAGATCCGGGTGCCGATAGTGCATCGATAAGCTCACTTCTTAGTTCTGCATCATTTCCAGGCAAGGAGCTCACACGATCTGTGGAGGTTAGACCAACAGCAGGTACTTTATACGCCAGTGCAATCGACCGTTTGGAAAAGAGGACGAGGACCCTTTACCTGCAACCGGTCATCATAAGAGCGCGTGGTGATGATGGACGGGTAGAACTCGCGGCTTGTGTCGAGGTTGTGGTTGTACGCCGTGAGGCCCGCCTCGCGCAGCTGCCGCGCCTGCGCCTCCTCGATCATGCCCAGCGTGCAGCACACCTCCATGCCCATCCCCCTGGAAAGGGCAAATCGGGTAACTTGTCAAAATGTCACGGTGTAAGTTCCCTATCTGTCATCGTCTTTGGATAGGTCTGATCTCCCTCTTCAGAGAAAACCGACGTGTGGATTCTGCCTGCCATGCTTCAAGGCAACCTTTGAGACATTTCGTAGGCTTGGTCTGCTCTTCTTCCTCTTTCGGCTGTGGATCATGTCGGCTGTGGATCGAAACAGGATCGTGTCTCATTATACTTCGACACATCATATTTGCCCGGCCTGACGCTTCTGGGCTTCACCTGAGCTTGTCTCTGCCCAATCTTTCGACATCTCTTGGGGATTTAGTCCTCTGCATTTACTGATCCTTTGGCACATGCAATGCGTCACTCTGTCGGGTTTCATCTGCGCTTCTGGTGACATCCTGAGCCAAATTCCCCTTGGGCAAGCAAACAATCCCCTCGAGTGTCAAACCCCCTGGGTATCCTGTACGTATGGCTGCGCCAATAAGCCCATACTCTCTAAGATCACCACCCAAGGCGCTGATGAAGCCGACAGCTCTTAGGCAATAATCCCTCCCCACTAACAGATTCGATCAGGTAAGAGGTTACTTCCACCCACTGTTCCTTGACTGAGCGATATGCAGTTGACTGAAGCAATATGAGCTCAATGTGACCACAGCGGACACCAAACAGAGGTGAGTCACTTACCGGATCTCCTTCACATAGGTCAGAATCTGGTTGAAGTTGGTCTTCCGTCCAATCGTGTCCCTCCATGCAGCCCCCATGCAGAACCGAGTGCTCCCCGCCTCTTTCGCCCTTCGCGCCGCAGCGATGACTGTGTCTTCCGCCATCAGCTTTTCGGCTTTCACACCAGTGCTGCAAGAAGCCGCGCGCGTATGCTTTCGAGAAGGATTGAGAAGCTGGGGCCGAATCGTTAGAACTGCCTAGCAATCAGGGGCTACGCAGCATGAAAGTGGACTACCTTGTGAAGCTAGTATCCCCCGGGTATGCCCTTTTAAGCAAGTACGGAGTAGACGGACGAGGACTATTGAGGAAAGCAGCACCTGCATGCTGATTGCCCTGAAAGACAACAGGGACTTTCAAGCTTAACTTCCCTCGTGTATCAGCCACACAATACTCCATTGGAACGCCTCCTTCAAGCCCTAAACATAGTGCACGAGTGATCGCCAGAGCCCCAAGGTTCAGCATCTTTCAACTATGCCAAAAGATGGTGGTACTAATGCTTACGTGTATCGGCTCGACTGCGGGCAGTACGAGCAGTCCTCGGAGCAGCCCCCCGTTTTGATCGACAGCAACGTGCATTGCTGCACCTCTCGGAAGCGGTGGAAGTGCCGATGGACCTCTGCCTGCGAAACGACAGGAAATAAGTGTTACAGGCAACCTTCTCTGTTTCGAAAACATTCTGTCGCTTAGACTGAGGCCTTGATATTTATTTCCAATGTTCTTTATTTTGCTGCAGAGGCCACTGTCATATTGTTGCACTTATCGTATCTGCGTGCCTGAATAATGTTTGAACGACACTCTTTGTGCGTCAAAGACTTCCGCTTCTAGTGGCATTCTTCAGGTCCAGGGAGTGGTTGCCATGAGAGGCCAAGTTTGTCGTCCTGAATCCTTTTGAAGATGCTTGTCAAAAGGCACCTCTCAAACGTTCAAGAGACTTTTGATCGTGTTCCATTCCTGCACATGACCAGGGGAGACAAGCAAGAAGATTGATTGTGTGTATAGAGGAAGTTGGGAATGCAGAGTGTCACCGCAAGAAAACCTTTGGATATGCTGATTGTTAAACCAGTATTACGCAATTCACTGAAAATCAAGAGTCCTCTGACCACTGTTCATATTTCAATGCTGGCAAGAACTGATAAATGAGAATGCATTGAGCGTAAACGGACTCACTCCATGAAAAAGTAGGTCCATCAGCGGCGAGTCGAAGATGGCCTGGATTTCGGCCTTGCTCCAGTCCTTTCTCGGAGCATTGCGCAGCGCATACTCTGCCGCCACAGACACCGCGGACCGCCCCTCAACATGAGGGGCCGATGCTCTGCTTGTCGTCGTTGTACCCCTCGGATCTGCGTTCGCTGTACTAAAACCGGTGTAGACTAGCGGTGCTCTAGTTGTTGTAGCCTGTACTTGAGCCTGAGCAAGCTTGGTGGAGTCCGACTGGGTGTCCCTTGCAGCATTTTCAAAAGGAGCTGAGGGGAAGGCTCCGAAGGAGGGCGCCAGAAAGGCTGGGCGGAGTACCCCCGCTAATCTTTCTCGGGCCGCTTTCTGGCGCCAAATGTGAGCGCCTAGTCTCTGCAGCGCCATTTTTGGCTCAAGGCGGAGGGCAATGGAGACCCAAGTCAAGCTTCTGGTCAAATGCAGGAGAATGCTGGTTCTCTTTGCGCTCCCAGGTAGGCAACAACTTGTGCGGCTGCCTACAGGTGCCTGGACCGAGTCCTAGCTGCTCCCCTCCTGCCGCCTTATGCAAAGATCTGTCAGCAGAAAAGGTGGTGGCATGTGACAGCGCACCAATGCTTTCAAACCCTTTTCAACCACCACAATCTGCGCGCTCTGCCCCAGCTCTTGAGCTCTGCAAAGGATGGCAAACCTTAAGCTTTGGCCTCAACTCGAGAGTGGCGAGAGAGCGTCCTCTAGAGCTATTTTCAGCAGCTGCCTTGCTGCATTGTCCTCGAAAGTGAAAGGTCTGCATCGTCCTTCCCATTTCGAAGTTTAAGTTTCGTTAGGCAAACCCGTTCGAAGCTGGCAGACTGTAGTCTGTATCCTCACATCAGGGACCATACTGTGACAGCGTGGCATGCATGTCATGTACAAAGCACCGTCCGATGGTCCCCAAGTTTCAGATTAGGCGGTCTCCATCCACCCAATTGAAGGCTCTGTAAATAGACCCCTATCAATGCGTCCTGGCGTTCTGACCTCAAACATCATGTAGGTGAACTGCTTTTCTCGTCTGCACAGGCAGCAGAGAGTCAGAGTCAGAGAAGAACAAGGACTGATTGTCTACACCAAAGCCAAAGGCACCGCATTGAGTCGCCATTGCTCTTTGATCCTCTAGACCCAGCAAGGGATGGGCGTGGATCACTGGATGGGCGCAACCAATGGATTCTGTACTGCTACATGGACATGAGTTGAGAGCTTGAGGGGAAAGCAATCGGCGTCGAACCCCCATCATTGTGAAAAACGGGGCAACAAGGAGCGACAGCTTTGGAGGTGAGACGTGATTTTATAATGAAACTTTATGTGAAACGACGTACTTGCAAGCTTTGACCCGATGGAATGGTGGTGGGCTTTATAGCTTGATCTTCATACATACATTCAATGCCAGCAGCAAAGTTTCGATGCAAATGTAGTCCTGCTTTACATGATGAGGCAGAGAGTCAGCGGACTTGGACATTGCTGAGGCCAACGCAATAAGAACCTGACAGTCTCCTCTTTGCCTCCTCAGCTGCAACACAATCATTTGCTTCATGGCATGAAGTCTGGGCTTTAATGAATGATCATTGCTCCCCAACGAAAATTTGGCTTGGACAACTGCGGTTGGCTGTCTTTACATATTTCGTTACTTCTTCTTGAAAGCTCTCGGTCCTTTTTCTCATTATTTTAGCCCTCCGGATTCTACATGGTGCTTTAAAAAGAAAGCTTGGTCAACCTTGCAAGCAACTCAAGTGAAAGTTGCACCGTCGCTTGGGCAAACACACTTCAACTCGCACGCGGCAGTTGACCAATCCATCAAAGTCCACAACTCATCCTGATGCCAACGCAGCTTACAACCTCTATGACAGACACAGAAACACCCTAACCAACTCTGACCTCGAAGTCTCTCTGCCATTCTAGCAGATTCACCATGGCCCTAAAGACGCCACTGTGCGATCTTCTCGCCTGTGAGTACCCTATCATGAACGCTCCGATGAGGGACCTTGGAGGTCCCCGGCTCGCCGCGGCTGTCAGCAACGCCGGCGGCTTTGGGGTTATTCAGAAGCAGTACGACACCCCTGAGCTCTTTCGGGAGCACGTCAAGCAGACAAAGGCCCTCACGGAGCGGCCATTTGGGGCAAGCTTCTTGCTGAGCTTTCCGTATGAGGAGCTCCTGCAGGTAAGTTTGGCTAACCGAGCAAACAAACAAGAAAGTTGGTTCTTGAGGAGAATTGTCAATTTATTCCTTCCTGTTATGGAAGGTCAGCCCAGGAGCGTAGAGGAGACGTTGATTTGCCGGAGACATTGATTTGCCGGACCTGCTTCTATGCTTCGCTTGGACTGGTTGTTGAAGCTCGGACACTTTTGCCCATTTGGAACTGATATCTATGATACTCCATCTTTGCCCTGTATATTCAACGGTATTGTCCCAGGATTTTATGTAATGCCTTGAAGGTCTGGCGCGTGTGTATATGTTTCGATAAGTCTAATGCAGTGGTTCGAAGCCCCAACGCTCAAGAACCCAGTCTCAAAAAACTTGTTTTAAAGAGTCCTTAAAACATACATTGTGAGCTGTCAGCTGTGACTGTGCTTCATGGCATGTTTGGTCATCGTCAGTCCTGTGTGCGCCTGGACGGGATTTGCCAGGCATACGCTAGATCCAAACCTGGAGCATTCTCCATATTATTCGTCCTTCTTTAATGCTTCTTTTCTCCTTCGAACCTGTGAAGGATCGACCTGCCAATCCACAAAGCTTTTCTCTCCCTTTTCCCTCTCCTATTCAGCAGTACGCTCTGATCAATCTGTTATGGTGCACCAGTAGCCGAGGGCCCTCTACAAGGTACGGCTGTTCGAATGTTCTGTACGCAAACCATCTTTCACCGACCAAAAGCTGAACACATGAGAAGTGTCAAAGATTTGAGTTCGTCATATACCTCAGCCGTTTGCTGCTTCCTGTGACAGGTCTGCTTTGACGAGGGGGTCCCCTACGTGTCCTTCTATTGGGGCGACATCCCCCCTGTCATCATCGAGCGGTGCCATCAACACGGAGTTAAAGTCGGTCAACAGGTTGGGACCGTTGCTGATGCAGTCGAGTGCAAGGAGGCTGGGGTCGACATCATCATTGCCCAGGTACGATTGTTTAAAGCACTGTGCAACTTTGAAGACCTATCTTGTTGTTGCCGACCGTTCGCTTGACAGCTTCCCTTCAAAAACATCATGTGGACCTATTCTGTTCTTCGCTTGAAATTTGAAACAAGACTGGATACGAAGTGCAGTGTACGCTTTGTCCATGAAAATGCGAAGCGTTTCAACATTTTCGAGTACAAGCCTGACCATGCGAACACGCTCTTCTGCTGAACGCCTCCTTCTCCTGTCTGCTTTCTTCTTATCCTCGTATCTCTCCTTTTGTGCGCATTGCCACTTGCCTCTGGGTTTCTAGCTTCGGCGTCTCTTTAGAACTCTCAGATTTAAGGTCGCAGCATGGCTGCCTTGTTGCATTCGAACAAGGAGACGAACGTCTGCCTCCCGACGTTAGGCTCATGTGCCTGGGCTTTGATGAGGGCTCAATCGTTGAACCACCTTGAGAACCCTCTTCATCGCAGCGTCCATGTTAGAGCTATATTCTCAGAGTGTTGGCAGATTGAAAGCTCTTTGAAGCATACAAGCAGACTTAGTGAGCATTTGTCATACGACTGACTTTCAGGTTTCCAGTTGCCGACGTCGTATCTCCTGCTGGCTTCTCAGTTGAACGTGGTGTAAACGGCATACTGTGCTTTTGTTGCGAACTCAACCGTGTTGTGCACGGTCGACTCTTCTTGCTACAAGCTTTTCTGGTGCTCTGTGTAAGTCACATCAACCCCACGACGGCCTGTCTCTGCAGGGAGAAGAAGCGGGAGGACACGTCATTGGCAACGTCAGCACCATGGTCCTGGTCCCAGCGGTGGTAGAAGCTGTGAAGCCCGTGCCTGTCTTAGCTGGTGAGTCTTTCTGCACGTGCCTTTACGATGTGAATGCTCCCTCTATTCTTGCTTGCCTTCGGAATCCAATTCGTCGCAAAGAGGCCGAATAATCCTTCCGTACCATTGTCTTCTTCAGCCCCTCGCGCCGTCATTCCATACGACTGAGTGTCTAGCGCAACGCGTTGATCGCTTACTCCGGTTTTGAGTTTGACGAGCGCAACATACACAGCACTCTGAGTCAGGCTTTGACGTCTGGTCTTTCACCAGCCGACCCGTGTCAATCTATTTAGTTTCGCTCTATCTCAAGTCGGGTTCCAAACCTTCCCGAACCGTAAATTCTGGTCCAAACAAGAACTCAACCACCGTCACTCAGCCGCAAACCATCCCCTAACTCGCCCTAACCCCCTTCCAGCCGTACTGCGCAGCTGGAGGTATTGCTGACGCCCGGGGCGTGGTCGCCGCTCTTGCCCTCGGCGCCCAAGGAGTGGTGCTAGGCACCCGGTTCCTTGCGACTCCCGAGTCTGACGCACACGACCTCTACAAGTCAGTACTCTCTTCGTTTGCGCCCTTCCTTTTCTCCGTGTTTGCCCTGTCCAAAAGGGAGCAGTTGTTTGATATTCTCGATTGGTTTGTTTCAATGTCTGGCTTCAGCAAGCTCTTGTTTTTTCAGAGAGGCCTTGAAAGGCTTTCACGTTCAATGTGACGCGGATCCTCGAGGGCAGTATTCATGCCAAGCAGCCAACACCGAAATAACGATCAAATGTTTCCCGCTCTCAGCTTTCAGAGTGCATCTTCTCTCATCGCTTCTAGCAGTCCTGTAGAAGTCTGTACTCGAGATCAGGTTCACGCCTTTCCCGGCTGCTCAATCGTCTTTACTCTAGTTCAAAGCTCGTAGAGGATTCGAGCTGTCTGTGGCCTCTTTAGATTGCTGTCCCGGTGATGATGCGTCGCCTCCGAACGTAACTCTTAACCAGGCCTCAACTCTTACGAGCTTATTTGACAGGGAGAAGCTGCTTTCAGCGTCCGAGCTCGACACTCACAAGTCGCTCCTATGGGGCGCTGCCTGGCCGGATGCCCCTCATCGCGTCCTCCGGACTGGGTTTGTTGAAGCCCACAGTGGGACAGAGGAGGAGGGGCAAAAGCCAGCCCCTCCGGACGCACCAACCATCGGCACGAGGATAGTGGGGGGAGTGAAGAAAGAAATAAAACCGTTCCAGGTATGCCACTCACGCCCATAAAACACGAGACAGGTTGTTGCTCCTTCGGGACGACTTTCGGATCGAGCGTTTATCTTTCTGTTTGGGATGCGGCGTCGAATCTTAAGGGGTTCATTACGCGGGGGATCTTCCGGGGGTTATCTTCGAGGGGCCTTGCGGAAGCCTTTGAGAATCATTCTGTATTACATTTGTCTCGTATCTTATTCAAGCTTTTGCACTAACCTATGTACTAGCTTCCTTGGGCGGACCACCCGTGATATCGGGATGAGTGGTCTGGTTGATTATTGCTTACTGAGCCCATGTTCTGCAGACTGACTCCAGTCCACTTAGCTTTTTAACTTAGGACGACGGGGCAGAGCTGACTTTCAAGATGCTGAGTTGGTCGCGTTCGTTCAGGTTCAATTTCTTATTTTTGTCGTCTCGCTTCTGCCCATGTCAACAGCGCCACATCCCACTGCTTGAACAGGAGCCGACAGCTCATTCGAGCGTGCAAAGTTTTTGATCATACCGTAGGCACCCTCTGCTTGAGAAGCGGTCTGCGGCTTGACGTCTTTTCTTGTCTACGTAGGACGTTTCTCTGGTCTTGGCTTCGCCTTTGTCTTGCTTCTCAGAAGTTGTGGAGCTTCTTCTGCTCACATCAAGTGTTTACGAGTTCACTATGAGTAGACTGAAGTGAAAGCTCATTCTTTGCCTCTCAAGCACGCTCTGAGATCTTGCAAGCGGCTGCGTTGTTTGATTTTCAGGGTTACACTGTAGACCAGACTGTGGAGGGCGAGATGGACAAGTTGTGTTACTTCGCTGGGCAAAGTGTGGGCATGATCAATGAACTCAAACCGGCCGGAGACATCGTCCGTGAACTAGTTGATGGAGCGCGGCGGCTGATACACGGAGAACTTCTTGCTTTCGTTCCTTGATTCTTATTTCCCTGGAGAATTCTGGAAATAACACGATAACAAGATGTTTGTATTTCACAAGAAATATAGCCCTTGAAGACTTGTCTTGCGTTTGCACGTACTCTTTGCTTCTCTTTCGTTGAGGGAGTCGTTCACGAGCACACAAGCGATAGTCAGACTTCAGGCGGGGACGATCCGGAGATTGAACTGGGTTGAAGGCAGAGTAGGCCCAATGAGGAACGTCGCCTGCACCGGCCACAGTTGGACAGTCGATCTGATGCTGATCAAATGCCTGCGATTGTTAACGGGAATATCATGAGGCGCCTCATTCGCATCACTTGTTCCGAAGCCTGATTGTGAATATCATGAGGCGCCTCATTCGCATCACTTGTTCCGAAGCCTGATTGAGGCATTCAGTTGGAACTTTCTACACTAGCATGGCCTGTCACTGTGCCACTCTTAGTACATGCATCGCCCTGTTAAGACCTGCCAACTGACGATAAGCACGGTCCAAACGCCAGCTATAGCCGCCTAGGCCCATGGTCATTAATGAAGTGCCGTCATGTAAGAACATGTGTCGCGGGCTGGAGAATCTTCAACAGAGATTGGGACATGCACGGCCGCGGGCGGCCTCAGTGACATATATATACGGAGTGAAGATCGTGGTAATTGGCTTCAGTGCTGTACCACATATCAACCACCAGCTAGCATGAGCGCGGTTGATTAGACCCCAAGTGGCCGGCCCAGACGCGCGATCACATGTGACGGTGTGTGCAGCGGCATGCACATACGTGATCGGGTGATCGAGCAGAAGAATAAAACTCAATTTACCGCCCGATACCTGGCCCGACTCGACATGTCACAGCCCCTGACCAAGGGCCAGTCCATATATTCAAGCTGCAACACAGGCTTGTGGAAGGAGGCAAAGAATTGTGATGCCCATTTCCGGCGAATGCCAATAACGCAAACGCCTCGCAGACATCGGACATAAGCAACGCCAAGAGCGAAGTCTACTTCATCATCCGAGATGACAGGTAGAAGTTCCAAAAGATTGCGCAGACCGACATGAATCCTACTCTTGCTTGCAGCGGCACAACCCCGAAGTTAACTGTGGCTGCCGGAACCCAGAACTTCCATCCGTCCACCATCGTGGAGAAGAAGTCGGACTTGTACTTGGCAGGAAGGTCCTTGATCCGGCCAGCCCAGAGGTAGTTCCAAGCAAACACAACCGCAACCACAGCTGGGCCAAGCACAATCTGCAAGTTCAAGTCGACGGATTTCTTACAAAAGCACTTCGACGAAGGGCAACGAAGTTGAGTTCTGACTTGGGCACCAGCAGAAGCTTAAGCATGAATGATGGAAATGGAAAGCTGCTGGCTGCCTTAAGGCCTGAAGGGTATGCTGTAATGCCAAACACGTAGCCATGCCAATACATTTCTGAGCCCACAGTTGAATTAAGATTTGACATCAGAGGTTGTCTGAAGTGGCCAGATTGACCAGTGTCAAATGCACCGAGTCAGCTAAAAAAGGTGCCCAACTTTCTCAGTGTGTCCAGACTCGTGGGACATTCTTTTCTTGAAGAACTGAATCATCTGACTGGTCGAATGCTGTTCAGGATTCTAAACTGCAACAACTTGCGAAACAACTTCATTCTCAAGATGCAACTTCTGTTTTTGTATGTCTTTCACCAGATCCTTAGAAACAGAGTTGGGCAACTGTTCATACAAAGTGGATAGGAGAGAGGGCAAAGCTCGAGAAAGAACGAACCCACCTGGTTCAAGACAATCTTTGCAACAAAGTTGGACAGAGTCTTCTCGGGCAGACGCGCGTCCAAAAGCTTGTACCACCAATCCGACCCCGGCCCGTACAGCAACGCTCCGTAGGTCAGCATCCGTAAAGACCGCACAAAGTCATGGGGCACAAGCAACCAGCTCAAGACATCGTCGTCCTCCCCCGGCTTCAACGATTTCTTATGCTTGTGATACTTTCCAAGGGTCTGCGCGATTGTGTCGCCAGTCAGCGCTAACCCGCCCGCGGTTAAGCTCGCCTTGACCGGGAATTTGCCGAGCAGGCCCTCCGGCGCGCTTGCGCCAGCGGCCCCTGAGGCTGACTGCGGGCGGTGGGAGTGAGAAGCCCGCCGGCGATTCGTGCCCAGATTTCTGGAGTGTCCACAGGCATTGAGCGGCAGGTGGAATCCTGAACCAAAGGGGACGGAGGACGCCATGGCAGTAAAAGCACGCTACCTGCTTCTACAACCTGTTCGCCACCTAGATTGTTCAACCTTCAGCCTTGAGTGCCGACTTAAATAAGCAGACAGATTGATTGATGGAGATCCGCCTTTCCTAAGCTTCAGCAGCTTTCTTGGCGGCTCCAGTAAGCTGCCTGAGCGCTGCCACCTTTTGCGACTAGGCTGGGGGATTCCTTCAGGCCTGAAGCAGCGTGATCTCGACGTCGTCGTGAACGCCCTGCAGGAGCATCTCCGAGTCGTACTTGACGACCTTTCTCTTCTTGGCCGCCCTCAGTGTCCCGACCAGGGCTTCAAAGAGGTTGGCGCACCGGTCGTCGTTGAACAGCGTGCCGAATGTGACCTGCAATGGCCGCAAGCAAAGAGTAAAAACAAACCTCAAGTCCTGGCAAGAAAGCAAATCTGTACATTTCTCAATCACCCTGTTGATGCTTAAAGGCATGGAAGCGGGTAATTACGCCTTTAAGCCCCCATATGCGGAGTTTAGAAGCACCTGAGTTACAAAAGTCCAGACACAATCACATCAGAAACAAGGATTTGAATAAGATAGTCTGGTTGATGGCACATTGAAGCAAAGACACGAGAGCATTCCACGACATTGACTGCCCGGTATGAAAGAAAATTCAGACTTTACCAACACTTTTCCTTTCTGATAGTTTGGTGCCTGCCTGAATCGGCATACCACCAGGTCATACAATACACGTCTGCTTGAAAGACAAGCAGACGCGGCGACCACTGCGCGCACCTACCTTGTAAGTTCCGTCAGCTTCCTTTTTGCCGAGACGTTTGATCTCCGTCTTCAGCTCTTCCACTTCCTTATCGACATTCATGTCGTCTCCAAAACAAGAAAGCGCCCCCCCCCCTTCGCGTTTTTCGCCTTCCTAAAGTTGCCTGGACAGGATCTCAACTTTCAAGCAGTTCAAGCCTCAAGCCTGAGCTTGAGTTCTAGCTTGCAAGTTGCAACCTGCTCCGACTCGGTGTCCTCCGCTTCAACGACTGTCGTTCTCCCGTAGCCGGGACCGCGACGCTCGACCAACCGAGCTCTCAATACCTCCCGGTAGAGTCACAGGGGCTGTGGGGAAGGTGACCCGGGGAACCATAACCGCGTACTCACTTTCCACGGTGTTCGTAGACCGGGTGCATGTGGAGTCACCGGGTAGATTTTCCCCTTACTGACCGCAGGCGGGGCGGCAGGCGCCTGGCGCACTCCGAAATAGCAAGCTAGAAATTGGCGCCAAAACCTAAAGTTAAAGAAGCGGAGAAAAGTCTGCATGCGTCACCGTGACCTGGCATGGTGGTCCGTGCTGCCTCAATTGCGGAAGATGTTGTGCAGAATCTCTGGCTCAGATACAAGCTGTTTTTCTTCCTCCAGTTCGGTTGAACTGTCTTCTGCTTTCTGCAAGGGCGTAAACAGTGGTGGTTCTACGATGCAGCCGGTGTAAGTCTGTGGATAGGTGATTACATTGCATGCAAAAAACATATTAAGTCGTCCAGGAAATTGCCTCATGATTCTGTAGAAGGTCCACTGATTGAGAGACACCATGTCTCGGAGCCGGACTGACCCAAAGGCAACTGCAGTGGCGGAGTTGGGGCCAAAACTGTCAGCTCCGGGTCTAGCAAAGGATGCGCTCTTGAAGACTTTGAAGGTGAGGCTGTCCTTGAGTCTTTGCTGCATGGATTGATGCGATCATGTTTTGTTGATTGAATGCTGCAAATTTCAGAGAGTATTCACGAAATTAAGCAAGCGGACATGGCATCGCGTAAGGGTTAACTCAAAGTGCATGGAAAGGGTGTCAATTTGCTCAACGGCGGAAGAGGCATCTGAACCTCCAGCACCTGGCACAGATTAAATCTCCACCAGAAAAGTACTTGTAGGGAGCTGGCTACGATTCATTTGATTCTTCCGGTCAAGTTCACCGCTGTTCTTCCTCTTTTGTTCGGTTTACCTTAGGAGGGCCACCTAAAACAGGTGGCACAGCGCACGACTGCTGCGCTTAGCTATATAGCTGGGGTTTGCTATGAACCGGGTATGGTAAATTCTTGTTGTCATGCAAATGTGGCTCAGTGTCTGGTGGTGTATCCTAGATTTCACTGAAGGGTAAAGTACGAAGAGAAGTAATCAGCATCAGTCGTGCCTTAGGTTGAGAGCTTCGAAAAAAGTTCAGATGTGTGTGAGAAGCAGGACAGAGTGTTGGAATGGCCCCGGTGCATTCTTATTTCCCCCACCGCCATATGAAGGGCAGAAGATCCTTCTGTAGAATCTTCTGGAGGTTCTGACGATAGTACCATTTTATTTTATTTTATAGTGCCATTTTAGGTACTCAACGAAGGTCTCACTGAATCAGTCCCCTCCCCCGTTCCTTTCAGAACAGATACTGCAGAACATGGTCACTCCTACTGCCTTGGTCCGCTTCTTATTTCAGTTCAAGGAAACTGGCCGTCGCCTGTATGTAAAACCTGAACCTGGCTTGCTGATTCTTTTTTCCAGAGCATAGGCTGTCTTTACCTTGAGAAGTATCCGCCGGGCCTTTGTTCTAAGGCATAAGCTCCCTTCACACATATCCTGACTCGCTCCTCCCGGTCTTACGCTCTCACAGCAAGGCTCGGGCCTCCTTGCTGAGCTCGGCCCAGTAGCATCACCCAGCGTAAAGAACACGATTAAGCCCTTCGTAGAGGCACTTGGACAGCAGTCAATCGTTCGTCACAAGGACAAGGATGTCAAGCTGCTGGCAGCGTCATGCATCAGCGAAGTGCTCAGGCTGTGCGCCCCCGACGCTCCATATGAGGACCCGACCCTCAAGGTAGGGGATACTAGACCCGCTGACACTGGACAAAGGGGGCTCCACACTTTTTACTAGTGTTTGAACCGAGGAAACTTTTGTAGGCAGGGTGATTACAAGACCTTGCCTGTAGTGGTTACTTCCTCGGTCTGCATTATTGGTGGGACTGGCGAGTGAAGCATCTGCGGTCAGTCTGGACTCTCTTTGTGCTTTGTACTTCTTCCAAAGTCGCGCTGGCAGATACGTCTGGAGTTACAGATCAAAGCTTTTGTTCTAGCTCGGGATGCTTCGCACGGAGAGTCTGCACTAGCAAAATCCGCTTGTGACACTGCCTTTCATGTTTCTTCGAGTGTCCCGTTCTCGTCAGTCTTTGAAGTTGCTGAAGCGTTTCGATCTCGCTTCTTCACCAACTTTTGTGAGTGCAGGACATCTTCCGGCTCTTTACCTCCGTCTTCGAAGGGCTCAACGAAGTCACGGGGTCGTCCTACCTCAAGCGCGTCGCGGTCCTGGAGAGCCTCGCCAAAGTCAAGTCGTGTGTCATGATACTGGACCTAGACGATGAGGAGCTGGTGCTCAGGTTCATGGAGACTCTGTTCGACGTCATCCAGTGAGTCCTCTCGTCCAGGCTGCCAAGTTCTGAACGACAATGGCTTGTATGATGCAAGGTGCTACCAGTGTTTACAGGGTGCTAACCTTGTGCATGGAGGGGTTTGTTAAATAGTGGCGCGTATGAGTCGGCCACTGAAGGGCATGGAATGTTAGGAAGGCAACGAAGACCGATCAAACTTCTCTAGTCACTCCTCTGCACCGTATGGAGGAGTCGCTGATATGATGCTGCTTTCAAGCAGCACCTACGAAAGGTTGGCGAGCTTCTACAAGGTCGATCAGCCATCACAGGGAAAAACGACTTGTCGAACATTACTGTTGCCAGTAACTTCAGGGACGAAGAAGATTAAAGTAACCTTATCCTTCGAGCGTCTCTTCTTATCGAAAACCCGGATTTGCATTGTGGGGCTGGTTGATCCCCTAGAATTCAGGGGTCAAGCCTCTGACTGGTTTGCCTAAAGTCGATGCTGCTCCTCGTTCAACAGTATCGACCAAGCGAGGAATGTGCGCATGGCTATCTTGGAGGTGCTGGCGATCCTGATTGACGAGAGCGAAGACGTCACGCAGCCCTTTCTGGACCTCATACTCTCGTACCTGTTCTCTCCCAAAAAGGTAACGATGGCCGTGCTTCTTCTGTCCAAGCTGTAAGCATCTGGATTCCATGTGTGGCAAGTGCGATCAAGCGTTTCGATTGCCACAACTGAACCATCGAATGGAGGCTTGTATACAGCGTGGCCTGCAAAGCCTGGCAACGAACGTTTGCTCAACCCTCTCGGTGGCAGCTGAATTCTGCGTAACAAGGTCGGTGAAAGTTCCACCTTTTTCCCCTCGTTACAGAGAGATTGTCTGACGTCCCGGTTTCTGGATTGTGAGCCCGATGGAAGGTCCTGCGACGTTGTGAGACACTCTTCCATTCAATCAAATCTGATCTGGGTTGGAGATGACTCCGCGGGCCTTCTAGCATCCCTTCCCGTTCCGCAGAACAACAACCCCGCGGCTGCGCAGCTGGCGCAGGAGCGATAAGAGGTCTTGCGACATTGTGACAAACTATCAAAAGACTTTCAGCATAAACAACGTAGAATTAAGAAAGCTCTGCAATCGGCCGCACACAATCCCTTCTCTTTTCTGCAGAACGATAACTCTGCGGCTATGCAGCTGGGGCAGGCGCGCTGGGAGGTCTTGCGACAGTCTGCCACACTATCATCTTCCAGCTTGCCCCGAAGAAAGCTTCTGAATTCGTACAACATCCCTTTCCGTTTTGTAGAACGACAACCCCGCAGCCGCGCAGCTGGCGCAGGCGCTCCTGAAGCGCGAGGTGGAGGTGCTGCGCAACCCGCTCCAACAGTTCCTGCTCTCGGTGATGCTTAAGGGCAAGTCGCAGAGCGAGCTTAAGAAGGACTACCATGACATCATCTATGAGGTGTACCGCGCCGCGCCGCAGCTGCTGATGACGGTGCTGCCAAACCTGGAGGGGGAGCTGCAGGTGGGGGGCGGGTCAATTGTATGATTTGGAGCGGATAGCTTACCTGGTTGTGGGACAGGTCGTATATGCTGTCGAGCTGCCATTGCACTTCAAACACCTCCCTGTGTTTTGTGTGTCTGTCTTACGTTGATTCGATCTTCTCATCCCTCGGATACGCTTGGAAGACAAGGAGCTTTGGTTGACCCAACCACACTCACACTCAATACGATTTCCTCAGGTGAAGCAACCTGTTGAAAGCGATCGGGCCTGCCGGACAAAAGCTCTTCAAGTTTGGCCCCTATCAAGAATCTGGATCAAGCTTGCTTTCAAGACGCCATCCAACTTCTTTTGAATTCTGTACTCAGGTAGACCAAGTCGAGACCCGGCTGAAAGCGATCGACTTGCTCGGCAAGATCTTCTGCATCCCGGGCGATCAGGCGGCCACCGAGTACCGCCCGCTCTACAACGAGTTCGTCCTCCGCTTTAACGACAAAGCCGTCGAAGTACGCGCCAAGATGGTGCAGTGGGCCCAGCAGTTCCTGCCGTCGGCGCCGGACGCGCAGGCGAAAGAGATCTCAGGTGCTGAAGCGTTTCGCCCGCAGCCTGATGTTCACCTTAATACGATAATTGATTCGCGTCTAGACGCTGTTTGGAGGCCTATATCAGTTTCCTGCGATTCCTTGCTTTGTTTCTGTAGGTCGGGAGGATGTCTTATGTGTGCTTTCTGCTTTTCTTGATGTACATTTGTTTCTGACTGAATCTGACAGTGCGCAGCTTAGTAAGGTGCACTCTAAATTTGACTTGTATAAGGTGCGTGGCAAGCAAAGATGGTTCTCGTCAAACGGCCCTGCGCGTTAGTTTTGGTGCACCTGGCTCGTCCTTCTTGATAAACAGAAACATCAACAGTTCGCAAACCCTTCGGCCACATATGATGTACAACCATCTGTGGCCCTCAAAAGTTTCTGATCCTGCGCCGCTTGCTCCTTTCAATATACATTTCCTTTGGCTCACAACGCAACCCGTCCTCAACACTGAAGCGCCCTAGCCCTCGAAAACCTTTCCTTCGCAAAGGCCCACATACTTGCGTGCGGTGCGGTGCAGACAACTTACTGCAGCGGCTGAAAGACTACGACGATAAGATCCGGTCCCAGGCCGCTGTGGCGGCCTGCGAGGTGGCGAGCGTCAACCCGGACGCAGTCTCGGCGGAGCTGCTCATGGCTGCCGCCGACCGGATGCGAGACAAGAAGGTGAGCAGCGGGGCAAAGCTGGTGATCTAATGTATCGATTAGATTACCAAAAGGAGACGAAAGCTGCTCCTCCTCCAGTTTGAGTCCTGCCCTCTTGTTCTGAATTTGTTCAGGCGGGCGAGGATCCGGGATCGGTTCCTTTCTGCTTGCAGCTGTCCCTGCATCTGACATGGACACACCGCTGATCTGCTCTTGGTGATTCGTTTTGAGTTGCCCGACGTTGCGTCATCCAAAGCAACCCAAGCTATTGCTTCCTCTTTCCCTCCTCGGTTGGTTTAAAAGCGAAGAAGCGGTGATCATTGCAATCATTGCGATGCTGACGAGGCTCCTGTTGCCAGGTATTTGTCCGGAAGGACGCCCTCAAAGCGTTCACCCAGCTGTACAGCAAACAGGTCACGTGGGTGACGCAAGGGCAGAGCGTCGACGACAGCAAGTTCGCGTGGATTCCGGCCCGGCTAGTCCGCCTTGTATACGATAAGGACATCAAGTGAGTGGTGGTATCTAACCGGGGCGGGCTCTCCGCTATGGACATGTTCTTCGCTGTTTGCTTGCATGCCTGAGTTGTTTAATTCAAGTGTCGCTTGAGTGAAGTGTACCATGGTTTGTTGGCGGCTTCGGCAGCGGGGTTTGAGAGGTCCGAGCGGCCAGCTAGCACTGATAGAAGTCCGCAGGAGCAGCGCTACCGGGAAGGACCACAGGCATCTTTACGGAGTAGAGTCACTCGTTTATGCCAGTCTCAACCCCTCAATCGTTTGCGGATGACATAACTCGAGGCCGTCAGACCTGTTCTGTGTTCAGACCTTGGTCCCGCTTTTGAAGAGACACCGGCCATGCCGTAATGTTACTGTTTGCAACACACAAAACTGGCACGACTTTTCGTATTGCTTGGTCAGAAAAAGGTTCTTCGAATCGCAGATCATACGGTAAACGTGTAAATCTTTCAAATAACCTTCTAAAGCCGCTCGACGTACCCCTTCTCAGATATCAACACATTCAGAACGTCTTTGAGGAGGAGCTTTTCCCCGTGAAAACGCCGGTCGAGCAAAGAGCCCGGCACTGGGTGTCCATGTTTAGCACGGTGGACGATGTCGAAAGGAAAGGACTGGGATTCATTATGACTCTGAAACAAAGGTGAGATCCGCTGCTTTTTGGAGCAATTTATGACCCCTCCACGACAGCGGTATACTTTTGTGCCTTGCTTCTCCTCGTCCTCCCCTAGTGAGCGCCACAGCAGCTGCTTATGAACGAGAATGCTTTTCATGAAGTGCATCAACACCCTGGATCAAGCTTTCTTGTAATCTGCCTTCGTTTGCAGATTATCGGACGTAAGAAACACGTCTGTGTCTCTCCAATCTCTGCAAATTGTCATTTGCACCTGTCCTCCTCCTCCACTCAAACCTCGGTTCTGAAAATTCCACGCTTTGCGAGACGCTAATCATCATCAACCTGTTTCGAAAATGCATGCCTCCCCCTTAAAAGGTTAGCTTTTTGAAAGTCCCGAATCTGTTAGGTGTCCTGATAAAATTGAGCAACGCCTGATCGTACCCCGTTGTCTTTGTTCAGGGCGCAGCAGGAGATGCGTACGTACCTTGAAGTCAGGCAGCTGCTCAAGGTGGGATTGCGCATCTTTTTAATTTGAATTCAGGACCGTCACATGAAGTTCGACAATTCTGATCCGTGCCGCAATCGCAATGAGCATTTGATGCCGTCACTTCGCCGTCGATGCTCGTCACGTGCCCTTTACTCGAAAGGATTTGAACAGAGTAGTGATATCAACAACCTCGATGGACGCTGCTACTTCTGCTCTCTCCGCAGGAGAGCCCCACCGACAAGGAGCTCCAACACCGCAAGACTGCAGCGTTCCGGACGCTGTCGACCACCTTTCTGGACCCCAGCCAGAGCGAGCCTTCCGTGCTCTTTTTACACGGAACATTCCAACCGTTCGTCTTCTCAATCTTGCAGGAGAACCCCACCGATAAAGAAACCCAAGACCGCAAGACTGCAGCGTTCCGGTCGCTGTCGACCAACTTTGTGGACCCCAACAAGGCCATGGAGCACCTGGCCAAGCTGGACCAACTGAAAGACAACGCTATCTTCAAGGGCCTGGCGCAGCTACTGGACGTCGGGGTCTCCATGGTGGCGGCCAAGAAAGCGCAGGTAAGCCCATTTCCTTGCGCAGGCCCATGAGACCATTGAGTCCACAATCTCTTTCCCTGGCGCGTTCGGCGGGAGAAGGTGAACGCCTCAACAGTTTCGAGTTCCGGCAGTCAGGGCTCTCTTAGGGGTTCTTGTTGATGCACGCACGACTGAGGCCCGCTGAACGTGCGAATCAGCAGGTTACCGTAGATTTATCTTGTCTAAACTCCAAGCTACATTCTCCCTTTGCCTCCTTTGTCCTTCTGTCTGCTTTTCAATTCCACGAAGAGGTCCTCTGGCGGCTGGGTCAGAGCTTCGTCCAGAAGAGCAAGACCGTAGAGATGGTATCACGATGGAGGAAGGGGCTGTCGGAGTTCCGTTGAGTCGCATAATACAAGAGAAGAGTACTGAAGGAACATTCACCATATGCAGTAGGACGTGCTAAGCGGCTGGGCAACGTTGTCATAACAGGATTTGGATCTAAGCAACGATCACTTAAGCGGCGCTGTTGTGTTTCAGGAGGACGTGCTGAAGCCGCTGGTCAGAAGCACGCGCAGCAAGTTGTCCAGACGCTTGACTTCAAATGATCAAGATAGTGTAATCTGAAGCTTTAAGAAAGACTAGTCTCGATTGCAAGACAAAAGTAAAAAATATGATACTTGCTTGCAGGAGGACGTGCTGAAGCGGCTCGGTCAGAAGCACGCGCAGCACGACTTCCTCAAGGCGCTCGCGCAGAAGGTGTCGTACACTCTCATCAGCAAGGATTTGGTGACCGCCATCTTGGGCCTGCTCTCGGAGCGTGGGGGCCTGGGACCCAGCCTCATGAAAGCAGCGGTGGACCTTCTAGCCGTGAGTACTTCTGGAGCGTTCAGTGAGCACGTCTAGCTAGCGATTTCACCTAAAAGCTACCTGCTTGTAGTGGGAAGTGGAGTGGTCGGAGTACTCATGGCTGAAATTTCCAGGTTGTCAGTTCCAATGGAAGCTGTGGTCATCCTTTCGGCCGGCTTTCTTTTCCTGTCGGCTGTGATCGAAGCTGGAGCGGTGTCAGTCCCCATGGTATATATTTCCTTTCTTCGGTGTCTTACACCCTTCTGGTCGAAGCTGCCACCAAAGTTGGGACGCAGCGGCTTCTCGTCACACGGAAGGCCCTGTAGAGATACCATCCCTTCTTCCTATTGGTCCCCCGACAATCTTCTAGGATCGTTTTCTGGAAGTGAAAGGTACCTGCTGGTGAAAGGTAACTTGAGCAAAGTGGAAGCGTTTTTTGGTGTTGCAGGCGATTGCGTCCCACTTCCCGCACCTCCTGGCTGACTCGGTGGACACGATGCTGGCGCTACTAGAAGAGGAGAGCGACGTGCTGAAAGACGCGGGGACGCAGCTGCTGGCCAAAGTGGGGACCCAGCTCAAGAACAGCGGGGGAGAAGCGAGGTGAACACTGCTAATTCTCTGTCTGGAAAGTGTTCTAAAGCCGAAGCGTGCGGATGCAGGGCGGCACTTCTCTTGTGTCAGACGTCGCTAAAAGCAAGTAAAGCGGAACTCATTTCAAAATTTCATGTAGGGAAACGGGGACTGCGCTTTGATAATGGAATTTTGAGTAGCCATTCAGCCGGGAAGGCGTCTGTGCTTATTGATTGACCATCTGCCGCACGCTCAAAGTCGGTGCTTCGTTTGAGGTATGGTTTAGTGTCAAACATAGAGCAGTTGGCCCCTGGTGCCGAGCAGGGCATTACGAATGAGCACAACAGAGTCCGTGATGTCAAGGAGGCCTAGGGCGACAGCAATTGCTCCCCATGCAATTGTCAGACTCCAGCTTCACTTCTGCATAGGAAAGGTGGTGAGACTGACAAACAACATCCGTTGCTCGCTCTTTCGCTTTGCTGATGCCGCGGTCCCCATCCCTGCAGTCAAATCTGGTCCCATTTGGAGCGGCTGTGCTTGGCCGGCACGCGCAACCAAGCCAAGAACGCCATGCTGGCCCTTCTGAGTCTATCTAGAGACGACGCCGGTACTGAGCCCCTCTCCGAGCTATACGAGGTACGATAGCATGCTTATCGCTGACCCTGCTGCACTGGCAGCAATTTTGGCCATCCAAGTGCCCAGTTTCCTTTGTAGCTTCTGGTAGTTCTTTGCAGACCAGTGGTGCCGCTCAGACTTGGATTCAGTGCGACTCACGAAAGATATGTTTTCTATCGCTCAACGTGTCCGAGATCTGTTCGGTTCTCACTTTGTCGCACCCTACCTAGCGCTCACTCTGTGCAGCCCTAGAATATGGGGCCACTGTAATAAGTATTCCCCCTCTCAATGTGTCACAAGGTGTTTGTCAACAACTTGTCTGAGCAACTTTTCTTGGCCACCCACCTGCAATCAGTGGTGAAACAAGCCCCGATCAATCCTGAGTAAAGAGAACCCGTTCTTTGCAGCAATTATACACGGCGCTCGTTGACTGCGACAACCTGCCCGCCGTCATCCAGTCCCTGGGCTGCATCGCCCAGCATCGGGTAGAGCTCTTCGAAAAGCGGGAGGATGACATCATTCGGTTCGTCATCCGGAACCTGATGAAGAGGCCTAGCGTGAGTACCTCTATTACTCAGCGCGCTGGCGGTGCAAACCAGTGCAGTCGTTCTCTACCACTGTGGTTCCGTCTTCTATCATAGCCATCGAAAATATAGATTTAAGACACAAATCAAGCCGGACGGGAAACATCGGGGTTTCGGACAGTGGAACGGCGAAAGGAGTAACAGATTTCCAGCGCCTTTGAAGCGTTCGGTTGGCGGCCTGGCGTCTTTGGCTCTCTTTTCTGCACGTGGGAGCGAGGATCCTGAAGTGACACATTCCATAAAACCCTCGAGCAGGGCAAGAGGTCCTCTTTGCAGATCACCTTCTACTTCGAAAGTTCATTAAATAGGCGTTCAGGCTTTCGTGCAAAGAATGATGCATTTTTGCGTGGCTTTTGTAAGGCCCAGATTGTGGTATGTTGGATCAAGTCGTACTTGAGCAGAGCACCCTAATCTGAACTGCGGCGGTGCGCAACGTATTTGAATTCTGCATTTGAAACCCTTCATGTCTTTCAAACTTGCCTGCAGGACGTCGAGGACGACCAAGAGTGGGACGCGCCCAGTTTGGCTTGCTTGCTACAGGTCAGAATAACTTTTTCCCCGGTCGTTGAATTCGATTTTTGTTCTTGATCTTGCTGGCCTCTCGCGGATGTACCCTTCTTCTTTTTGAACTCAAGTTGACGTCCTAAAGGCGACCCGGTCATTTGTACCGCACCTCCCCCGAGCAGCGTGGATCCACGTTTGCGCTTTAAGTGCTTCGCCTCCGCTTGTCGCCTGAGTTTGGATGCTCTTGCCTGGTCCGTCTTTTTGCCGAGGTGCACCTTGATCAGTGCTCACTTGCACTAGGACATGTAATGTGCAGGCGTCAACACGTCATCAAAGATTGCAAATATTGAGGTCTTACAGATTACGAAGCTTGTTGTAACCGATTGCAAGACCTCTCATAGCTACGGATTGAAGCGTTAGCGCGACATTTTTGATGTTTCTAAGGAAAGTCTTGGGCAAGAACGGCATGCAAAAGAGGACTAACACACAATCTCCCCGTCTGCCAGACGTACAGCCTGAAGATGCTGGTCAAGAGCTTCTTGCAACCAGACTCCACCGGTGGCGCACGGACTACGAAACTGAAGGGGCTTCTAAACCTCCTGTCGAAGCTGATCTCAGGGAACGGCCAGCTGACACCTGGCATCGAGTTCACGTAAGAGGAATTTGACATTTCCGCTCAATTCATCGGGTTTTTATGTCCTACATCGAGTTGTCAGCAGACTTCAGCGGGACTGTTAACCTGCCTGCCAGCCTCAATGAGCATTACCCATGCCCGCCTCCTGTGTCGTCTTCTATTGCCCTCGAAAAGCTATTCTCCTTGCTGCTTTCGAAGCAAACCGTGTACATTCCTGCGGCACTAGTGTGATGTCTCGCAAGGAGCATCGGCCGCTTTTGTCGCTATTAATACTCCCATCTCATAAGCAAAGGCTCAACGCCTTATAAGCGGTGGTCATTGAACCTCGTATCATCTCAACAGCTGTCCTTTTCTTTTCCAGCGAGGTCGACAAAGCCCACGTCCGGCTGGCGGCGGCAAAGGGGATCGTCAGGATCTCACGCTACCATCATCTGCAAGTGGTACCGGACCTGACAGAGAAGACGAGCCTGGTCGTTCAGGTATGCACCGTTCCCAACGTCGAGAAGTTGCTATATGTACTGATTCTAGAATGGATTCTGGCGCTTTGCGTCACAGTGTCAAAGCCTGACTTAGATCTGCAGACGACGGATCTGTGAGCGGTCTGCCTTTGCTGGTTTCACTAACACGATCACAGATAATCTGGAGTGATGCTCGAGGCTAGGCGACATGCGGTCAAGATTGTGAGGCGAGCAAGTGAAGCGAGTTTCTGGTTGCGAATCTCAGCTGCCTTACATCGAGAAATCTACTACAGTCTTCTTTCAAACTCTTACCCGCCACCGCACTGCGGCATCAAGTTGCGCTTTCCAGCGTCTGCTGCCTTTCAAGCCGTCGGATCATGCAACGTGTTATTGGATAGATTTTCAAATTCACCGGCATAAAGTTCGACGCAGCACAAAGTAGCAGTCCCGCACTGCTCCATTCTCATGTTGGGCCGCTCTGTTCCAGGACCACGCCGTTGAGGTTCGGCGAGACTTTCTGGACAAGGTGCACCGAAGGCTGGTGGAGAAGAAGTTGCTCACCAAGTGGGCGGTCGTGCTGTCCCTGGCGACGGTGGACGACGATCGGGAGGTGGCGAGCAACGTAAGCAGTTCTCCCCTTTGAATGCATAAAGAGAAGCATGGCAACATCTCTTGATTGCGCCTATCCAATTGCTTGAGACAGGTATCTTTTTCCTCACAGGCTCGTCGATACCTGGGCGAGTACGTCGAGCTCAAAGCGAACGACCCCCTAGCTTTCTGTTGCTGCACCTGCAGCTGACGTCATCAAGTGCTTCGTTCTTAAGCTGCTGCTGACGTCATACAACTGTTTCATACTTTCCTCTCAGGCCCGTCGATACCTGGGTGAGATCGTCAGGCTCAAGCGGCGCAAGGGCCAGGCTAAGCAGGCGGCTGGGACGGGTCTCGGTTTAGCACGTTGAGCCCGAATCGAAGTACTCCCGTAGCTTTCCTTCGATTCACTGAGGTGCTGCTGACGACATCGAATGCTTCCTTTTTCCTCTCAGGCCCGTCGTTACCTCGGGGAGTTTGTGGAACGCAGAGCGAACGCCTTTCTCTCGGTTGTCTGTCAATGAAGCTGCTGCTGCTGACGCCATTTTTCGTTTCTTGCTGACGTCATCCACTGCTTCCCTCTCAGGCCCGTCGATACCTGGGCGAGTTCGTGGAGGTCAAGCGGCGCGAGGGCCACGCAAAGCTGGCGGCCGCCGACGAGTCTCGGTTCAATCCGTCATGCTCGGAATAAGGCCTTCGTTCCAACTCCGTCACCAAACGGCTGCTGACGTCAGCAATTGTTCTGTCCTTTCCCATCAGGCCCGTCGGATTGTGGAGCTCAAGCAGCGCGAGGGCCACGCAAAGCAGGCGGGCGCGGCCAGGTCTTAGTTCCAGCTCGTCGTGCCCGAAGCGACCGCACTACCAAAGTTTCCTTCTACTAGCGCCACTGCTGACGTCATTCACTGTTTCC